TTATATCACACTGGTCGCCTGAACCCTGATTACATTTGCTTTGAAGTCATCATCGTGAGCTCCCACATTCCCTTTGCTCTTTTAAGGGATTTCACCTGTAGGCTGATGTCACTGTGCTCACAGTGTGGCTGAGGTTAAAGTTCACATTCTCCTTAAAATCACCTGTGGCAGAAGCTTAATGGGGTTCACTTGATGCCAAGAAGAGCTGCAAAAGTAGTGGAATAATAGTGAAAAAAAATGGTGATTGTTTGAATTTGCACAGGGATCTTTGGCCTGTGTCACTCCCACCTTGCCTGGCACATGGCTGCCAGATTAAAACAGCAAACTCCACACACTTAAGCTAACCCACTCAATGAGTATGAAGTGCGACAAGCTAATTAGCAATCACAAGAGGGCAGGCCGCTTTAAACAGCACTGAGCTAACACAAAGATTGGCATTGCTCCAGGATGCTGGGATCACCTGGCACCTCTGGGACCTTTCAGGACCACCGAAAAGAATCAGGGAGAAAGAAATCAGCAATTTAGTGCTCTCATTCCTGCACTGTTTTTGTACAGGGGCCAGTGGAATTAGTGCCTCCTGCTGGCCTTTCGTCACCACTACTAACACCATCTGGCCCCCTTTCCAAAAGATAAACCAGGGACAGCCTCGCTTAACATCACAGACATGACACTGATATGGTGCTAAACGGTCACAACAGGTCATCAGCCCCATACTGAGAGCTTTTGTATCCGCCATGATGTTTGAATGTACATCCCTGAGAAAACAAACCTCCCTGATGCAAGCTGCAGACAGATATTTAATAGTGTTGAGAGAGAAAACGTTTGTAGTTTTCATGCTGTAAGTAGTAGTGATATGTAGGGCAGAATTAAAGGATGCTGCGAATGGTTATCTTGGTATGTGTAGTGTTAAATAATACCAATGAGAATCAGCTTCCATCTTTGTGAAGTGAAGGGTTGTCCTCCATAAAAGCCAGCCTGTCAGTGACAGTTTTGTGGTCTCTAAAATAACAATGACCCAGTCAATTCTTGTCATGTTTCAGTTTCTTCACTGGAGCTACAATGGCACTGCAACTCTCTCTTAACCTGCAAAATATCTCTGCTCATGATAGATTGAATGTTTTAAGGGTGAATCAGTTGGTAGTTTTCAGCTTTTTCATTGTAATTGCATGGATGAATGTTAATGCATCTACTGTGTGAAGGAGCAACAGTCTTATTATATGAAATGTGATATGTAAAACAAACTCGTCTTTAAAAATTACTTTAAAAAATAGCCTATGGTTCCAGGATATCCCTCAGTGACCAAGTGTGATGATGGTTGTCTTTGTGGGAGGGGTTGTTACAGACAGACTTAGTAGTAGGGCTGCGTGACATGAGGGAAATATGCAGTAACGTTGTTAAGTAGGGGTGGGGAAAAAATGATTTCTTAGGTGCATTGCGATGTGGATTATTCAGCAGTGTTTCACGAATTTAAATAATTGATTATCTAAGTGTTTAAAAACAAGATGTTGACAGAATGAAAGAGGCGGAAATCAACCGCGAGAGCAGGGCAACACCTGGACAGTCCACAGTCCAGAGTCTATCTTGTAATTCATCTTCACAAAATTAAGCTGCTGCAAGCTTGTTTTGATTTAATGTCTAAATGATTACATTTGAGAGGCGAACGTGAAGAATATTGTTCGTACTTTCTACACCATCACCCAGAGACTGATGTTAACGGAGCGGAGCAGCAATCAGCAGTAATGTCAACAAACGACCAACTGGCCAACACACGCTGCAGCATTAAACAACTTAAAAGGCCTCTGAAGAAAAGAGCTTTTTGCTCAGTCGGTTTCACCACAGAAACCCTGCGCCCGGCCTGCTCAGTGTCTTGACTTTCCCTGGAGCTAATTGGCGGGAGAGAGGCTGCTCACCACTGCTGGAGACGTTAATAACAAATATCAGAGCGCTTTGCATCCCCCTCATTTTGTTATGACCATACAGACGGAAGACTGTAAGGTGTTTCCAAATTAATTAATTCATTCATCAATGCAGTTGACTTTTTAAGTTAAAAAGTCTGCGGATCATAAATCTTAATATACAGTTATGTTTCATATTGTATTTCAGTATAAAAAGGACACCAATGAATGGTTGAGTAGTACCTTAGTGTGAAACCAACAAAACATGCACTGTATACTATTTCGGGTAAAATATGACAGTATGCCGGCAAAGGTATTCCACAGTGGCTTAGTGTGAGTGACCACCAATGCATACAATGATCAAGATGAATTAATAATCATGTTATAATCACATCTTAATCGAATCATGAGGTGCTTAGAAATCCCATCCCTTTTGTCACAATATATCACAATAACAATGTTATTGGCTGTGAACAAACAGATATTATAGTGTAGTCAGTTCTGCCTTTTGTCGCTTTCAGTTTTCTGCTACAATACAAAAATAAATTGCTCGTTGAATTATAAAAATGAAATGATTCCCAACATTTCTATTAAAAGTTGAATTAAACAAAAGGCACCAATAAAAAGTTGCATTTCTAAATGCAGTTTCTTACTGATTTGATTTACTCAAAAAATCTCTGAGTGCAATATCAAAGTCTATCACAATTTGTTTATTGTGCAAGTTAACATAGCAGTGATTATAAAAAAAACAATATATACTTAGCAAAGAACCTACATAGAAATAGTCGATACATATGAGTCTTTGTATTCTGACAGAGAAATGTGTAAAATGTGCCTGAGGTCTAGAGTGATGTGGCGTTTAGTGACTGCTGGTGTGAAGGAAAGGAGAGTGTATAGGAGCGATCCCCTTTGCGGCACGTGGCCGAGCGCCTTTCATCCTGTTATTGGGTCATGGCTTTGGCTGCACTAGCACAGTTTGAGCGTAAGTAGGTTTGCTCTAAAATTAGATACTGATTCCCGACTCTTAACCCTTGACCAATGTCAGCCTGCTCCCCACCTGGATCCACATCAGACAAATCACACAGTTCATCAAAATTACTATCTAAGAGCGGGCTGCTTTTCTGGTGAGACATTTAAGTCATTGCAGCCATCCTAATTAGGAAGAACAGGCATTGCGCTAATGTGTTGTAGTCGTGCTGCAGGCTGCAGGGATTCCCCCCTGGATTATTCTTTGATTGTAGTTGGACCACAGGGAAGGGGGCTTGCTGCTAATCCCTCACTCACAGAGGGGGGTGTAATGTGAAGTGTTTCTGTGCAGTATAATATCCATACATTTGTTCCCTTCGCAGAAGTCTGTCATGTTTTTAAGATAAGAACAGGAGCTTTTGAGTACAGAACCTCAGATCTTGACGTTTCAAGATCACCTCAACACAATGAGCCTGATGCACACTTTTATAACTTGCAGGCTAGACTATTGTCTCATTCTTAGTCTGCAGTGGAATACAATAAATCAGCTACAATTAATTCAAAAGTTGCTGCATGTATGCTAACTAAGGCTAACAGGAGAGCACACATTAGAATCCTTATTTATTGCCAAGTAGATTTTCACATACCAGGAATTTGCTTTGGTATATTGGTGCATAACATCAACAGTAAAAGAGGATGAAATTTAAAAAAAAGGATAGGATAAAGTTAAAATTAAAAATATGACATATCTACTGTATATCTGAATTAAAATGAAAGAGCTGTGCAGGTTTTAGAAGCAGTAGTTTGCTCAAAGATGTGCAATATTGTCCACAGAATGTGCAGAAATTCATAGTGCAAAAAGAGTAGTAGTATAAAAAGACTATGCAAAATTCAGATCACACCTATTTTAAAATCTTTACCTTTTAGTTAACGTATTGATTTTAAATTCTTTTATTAGTTTATCAGGCGCTACATGAGCATATACACCAGAGTACCTCTCAGAAATGCTTTTAGTTTATGAAAAGTTCTGTAATGCATTAAGAAAAAAAAAATCCTGCATCCAAGCTGTTCTTTATTGTTTGTTTATTTATTTATTACAGAATAAGTGAATAGGTCTAAAATATCAAACCGTTCCTTTAATCTTTTTGATCTTGTCTTGTCTTGAGGGAATGTCTCCGTCCTTTGAGGAGAGAAGACTGTTCTCCAGTGTTGCTGCCTTCGCTACCTGAATGAACGACATTTCATTCAGTGTTTCTTTTCCTCGTCTGTACATCTTTTGCGTGGATTAGGCTACATTGATTTCAAACTCTTATGTGCTTTTTGTTCCCAGAGCTTTTGTCACACTTTGCAGTGACATGGCAAGTGTGGTTATTGCTGAAATGAAAACGAGCATTCAGAATTTTGGTGAACAAAACATAAATAAACAGTCACATACTGTGTTTGTGCTGTCGGTTATGGCGTGTAGTGTTTTGCCATGGGCGAGGCTCACACATGGGAGGTCGGCAAAGTGGAGGAAAAAAGAAGAATGGAGAGTTGAAGACAGCTGCACTCTGCGTGTCTTTGCACAAGAGCTTTGCAAGTGAAAACACCTGTGTGACTGCTGACTTTGAACAAAGGATCGGATCCTCGATGTAGCTCAATATAACCGATTCAGATCCGTTAAAAAATGCCTTGATCTGCCCTAATACTGATGTTTGAGATCAGATCAGGACATCCCTTGCATGGACTGTGCAGCATATACATACACACTCACCCTTTCCCTTAGTACCCTGTACCCTCTCTAAGATGTCTAAGATGCACCTCTAATGTGAGCCATAAGAAAAACTATGTCTGGCTAGTTTTGCTTTGGATGTTACGAACCCTGGCAATCATATTTTTAGGCAGCAGTCTCCGTCATGAGTTAAAGCCATGCTGCAGGTTTTTCCAGTTGCATAGAATAAATCTGTCCACTACAATAAAACCTGTTAATATGTTAAAACCATTCATGTTACTGTTCTTAACATCCTAAGTTTTGTCAGCCTCTTGTAAAGCACGTTAAAGTGCATTGATTTGTTAGAAAGGTGCTGTATAAATTCAGGTTTGATTGACTGATTGTAAATATGGAGTGACTGACTGAGTGATTGTCTCTGTCCCTGTCAGGTTGTAGGAGAGACCCCGTGTGTGGTATTAGATGAAGCTCCATCCAGGTGTGAGAAGACTCCCGGAGAGGAGGAGGAGTCGGGGCTGCGAGTAACGCCCCACCCGGGCCTTAGCCCGACCCCCTCCCATCAGGAGGACCACACAGAGGAGCAGCACCTACAGTTTCTGGTGAGAGAATCTGATGCTACACTCTGCTTATATTTCAGAATGATGTTGTCTTGGAGCGCAGCATGCAAACTCCATTAGTGGTGCGCTTTGTCAGGGCTCACATGCTACATATGGATTGTTTTGGTTTTTTTTCTGTCTAAATTTAATTATAAATCCAGTCTAATATTGTTCTCTTGAAAGCAGTTTTTTTGTTCATGAGAGTCCTAAATCTTTATCTTAACGTATTTCCCTTGTAAAGCACATTGAATTGCCTTGTGTATGAATGGTGCTATATAAATAAAATTGCCTTGCCTTGCCTTGCCTAAATTCCTCTTGGCAGAAATAACTGCATATTGTGCACGTATCTAGCACTCCACTTTGTGTTTTCATGTGAAACTGGAGCTTGAATTCAGTGCTGCGACTGAGCTGACGGCCGCTGAAGGAAAAACTATAGTCAGATTTGTTATGTAATGCTGGGATTATTTTGATCTTGTCCCCTGGAAACAGAAGGGAAGCACATTGCCCTTGCTGCTTCTACAAGTGGGTCTCATTTTCCCTCTCAGCATCATGCTGACTTTCTTTATCAGGATGGGAAATGGAGGGTCCGCACATTAACTGATGATATCATTAGTATCAGTATAAGGCTTCATGTCTCCTCACCTTTCACTGAGCCGTGTACATGCAGTTATTTCCATAACTGTGATTTGTGTCAGAAGTATTTTGAAAAGCTGATGGTGCAGTTTTCTGAGAAGAAGCCATAATTATTGTGCAGATGTTCTGCTGTGTTTTCTAAGAAGTGATGTGATGCTTTTGAAGTCTCCAAAATGGGTCTTTACACACAGCTTTCTCATTTCACCAAAGTCCTAATTAAATCTGCATAAATATGAAGGGAATGAGCAAGTGTATAATTTAAGTTAGCCAGTGTGATCCTTCAGAACTGAACAGTACTCAGACTGGCTGCGTGAGGAGTAACTTTATTTATGTGAGCTTCATCTTTGGTGAAACTAGCTTAAATGTAGTTGGAATGTTTGTTTGTTTTTTGTTTCAAGATTTTTTGGCTTTTTATGCCTTTATTAGATGGGACAGACCAAGCATGAAAGGGGGAGATGGGGGGGATGACTTGCAGCAAAGGGCCGCACACTGGAATCAAACTTGCAGCCACTGCGGCAAGGGCAGTTCCTTTGTACATGGGTGCTTGCTCTACCCTCTGAACTACTGGACACCTTTTGCCTTTGGTGTTTTGAAAGAATCTTAACCTTACACCATAGACTATCTGTCTTTCCAAGAGCATGACTGAGGAACAGTGGGATCTGAAGGCCTTTGCACACTGAGTCCTTTTTTTGAAATTGTAGTACATCTAAATAAGAATCCAACCTCACGTTGTGTCAGTCATGTTTGCACACTGACTCTGACATTCACTGTTCAGAACAGGTTTAATTTGCTGCATTTTTTCGCATCCGCCAAAAGGCCTTAGAAAGTTTTTTGACCAAGAAGCAGTGAAGAAAATGTGGCGTAACCTGCAGGACACATACATCTGCAACAAGAGACCTTTCAGCAGGTAAGATAGTGAAATTCATGTGGATGATGACGAGGAGGAGAATGTGATACAGGATGGAGACTGCACACAGACAGAGAGGGAGGACAGCCAGGAGGGTAACCCCAGAGGAGAGAAAGGAGCAAATATGTCTTTACATTTTGTTTTGTATCGGACTCTGTGTGCAAGATTTCTAAGTGTAATGTTTTTTGTTTGTTTGTTTTTTTGGATGTTGGATTAAGAAAACGCATGCAAAATAAGCTGACTCTGTGCAATATGGAGCTACATTAGGGTCAAATGTTTTGTACTTGAAAAAATAAAATTTGAAACTGAAAATTCATGTGCTGATCTTGAATTTTGAAAAATACAATAATGTATTCAAAATAAAAATAAGTGTATGAAACGTTTTTTCAGGTTTAATATAATTTTGATTCACTTTGGTAATTCTTTTGAATGAATAATTTATTTTCACTTTTCACTTCCATATGTATTTCAACATTTGAGGTCTTCTTTTTTTCAGTTGCATGTTTTATCTTTTCAGATTCAGATCTTTTTTTTTTACAGTTTCAAATCTTTTTTTCACTTTCAAATCTTTTTTTCACTTTCAGATCTTTTTTTTTTTTTTCACTTTCAAATCTGTTTTTTGAGTTTCAGACTTTTGACCCTTATGTGGCGTGGGGGGCGTGGCATCAACTGAGAGGGGTGTGGAATCATGAGTGACAGTGCCTTCAGGGAACGTAGGAACTAAAAACATTCTGACTCAACACTTATATACACCATATTCATGTGACTGGCAGTGTAGAAATTGATGCCAGTGACAAACTTCCATTTAGAAATCTGTTTTAGACAGTACTGAGCACCAATTGTGGTATAAGAGCGATAAATTATGCCAGATTTTGCAGTTCAACAGCCACATTTTAAGTGCTGATATGTCCGATTTCCACATAGCACTGTGAACGCATCGAAGTGTCCGTTTTGCTTTCGATGATGGCGTCCAGTCGGTTGGGTCAATCTGCTGGAGCCCATACATCCAGCACACAGGTGAGAAATGTTAACTAAGCTTTGGGAAATCATAACAAACATTAAGGGGTCGTTTTTGTGACAACATACATTTTCACAGCTCCATCGTCACAGCCCTGTTGATGCTTCCACATCCAGATGTGTCCCCTGGATGAAACCTTTGAGCTTGGGGGAGAGGAAACAATCCTAAAACACCTCCCTACTCACCTGGTGCCACAAAAATCACCTGGAGCCAGGTCAGGTGAGTAGGGAGGTGTTTTAGGATTGTTTACTTTTCCCCTAGCTCAAAGGTTTCATCCAGGGGACACGTTTACTGGATGAGGAAGCATCAACAGGGCCGTGATGATGGAGCTGTGGACAATCACACTTTCCAGCTCTGACAAACTCGCCACTTAAAAGACGTCACAAAAAAAAATGTATGTTGTCACAAAAACGACACCTTAATATTTGTTATGATTTCCCAAAGCTTAGTTAACATTTCTCACCTGTGTGCTGGATGTATGGGCTCCAGCAGATTGACCCAACCGACTGGACGCCATCATCGCAAGCAAAACGGACACTACGCTGCGTTCACAGTGCTATGTGGAAATCGGACATATCAGCACTTAAAATGTGGCTGTTGAACTGCAAAATCTGGCATAATTTATCGCTCTTATACCGCAATTGGTGCTCAGTGCTGTCTAAAACAGATTTCTAAATGGAAGTTTGTCACTGGCTTCAATTTTTACACTGCCAGTCACATGAATATGGTGTATATAAGTGTTGAGTCAGAATGTTTTTAGTTCCTACGTTCCCTGAAGGCACGGTCACTCATGATTCCACACCCCTCTCAGTTGATGCCACGCCCCCCACGCCACATAAGGGTCAAAAGTCTGAAACTCAAAAAACAGATTTGAAACTGAAAAAAAAAGACCTGAAAGTGAAAAAAGATTTAAAAGTGAAAAAATAAGATTTGAAACTGTAAAAAATAAGATCTGAATCTGAAAAGATAAAACATGCAACTGAAAAAAAGAAGACCTCAAATGTTAAAATACATATGGAAGTGAAAAGTGAAAATAAATTATTCATTCAAAAGAATTACCAAAGTGAATCAAAATTATATTTAACCTGAAAAAACATTTCATACCGTTATTTTTATTTTGAATAAATTGTTGTATTTTTCAAAATTCAAGATCAACACATGAATTTTCAGTTTCAAATTTTATTTTTTCAAGTACAAAACTTTTGACCCTAATGTAGCTCCATAGTGCAAAGGCCTTTAGACAGTGGGGTATCCTAGAAGAGTTAAATGAGTAACAGGTGTAGGAAAAGCACCTCAGCTGAGTAAACACTGAGTAAAACCCCCTGAGAGATGACTTTAACCCACAAAGCATGCAGGTGATATTTTTAGTAATGCGAGCAACGTCGCTCAGCCTACCACTTCAGTCCAGATGACTAGATGAGTCCAATTATCCTGGCCGAAATAATTCTCACAATATTATCCTGATAATCATCAAAATATGCTTTAAACTCCTGAAGTGGCACTTAAACATACTGGAATCAATTCACCTTACAGTATTTAATGCCGGGTTCACACTACACCACATTTCTGTCCGTTCTGACAGTCATTATGTCAGATTACGCGATTGTGGAGTCATAAAACCATGCCCAGACATGGCTGACAGACACAATGGTCCACACTCATCATCCCCAGCCGTTTTTCACGACGTGTGTGATGTCATCGGGTTAATCTTGTCTGATTTGAAATGGCTTTATATCTTTGGATATGAAATATGCCGGATGACTGGTAAAGATCTTTTGTGGTTTTTGAGGTTAGTGTGTATGCTGTCTCTTTGGGTGCTGAGTCAATCAGTATAGTTCATTTGATAACTCAGAGGACTCCTTTTTTAATTTCAGGGGACTTTTTATTCGTATTTCCACATTTATTAATTTCAGGAAGCTTTTTATGTCCATCTGCTACATTCATGTTAATGAGGTGTGGTTATCACACAGATTCAAACCAAAGCAACAATGAATCACAATCAAACTGAAAGTCATTTATGTATTTATTGCACCATTTATTTATTTTCATAGTCATATTCATCTCGTCATTGATTTAATATTGACCTACAGTACAGGCCAAAAGTTTGGACACACCTTCTCATTCAATGCGTTTTCTTTATTTTCATGACTATTTACATTGTAGATTCTCACTGAAGGCATCAAAACTATGAATGAACACATGTGGAGTTATGTACTTAACAAAAAAAGGTGAAATAACTGAAAACATGTTTTATATTCTAGTTTCTTCAAAATAGCCACCCTTTGCTCTGATTACTGCTTTGCACACTCTTGGCATTCTCTCCATGAGCTTCAAGAGGTAGTCACCTGAAATGGTTTTCCAACAGTCTTGAAGGAGTTCCCAGAGGTGCTTAGCACTTGTTGGCCCCTTTGCCTTCACTCTGCGGTCCAGCTCACCCCAAACCATCTGGATTGGGTTCAGGTCCGGTGACTGTGGAGGCCAGGTCATCTGCCGCAGCACTCCATCACTCTCCTTCTTGGTCAAATAGCCCTTACACAGCCTGGAGGTGTGTTTGGGGTCATTGTCCTGTTGAAAAATAAATGATCGTCCAACTAAACGCAAACCGGATGGGATGGCATGTCGCTGCAGGATGCTGTGGTAGCCATGCTGGTTCAGTGTGCCTTCAATTTTGAATAAATCCCCAACAGTGTCACCAGCAAAACACCCCCACACCATCACACCTCCTCCTCCATGCTTCACAGTGGGAATCAGGCATGTGGAATCCATCCGTTCACCTTTTCTGCGTCTCACAAAGACACGGCGGTTGGAACCAAAGATCTCAAATTTGGACTCATCAGACCAAAGCACAGATTTCCACTGGTCTAATGTCCATTCCTTGTGTTTCTTGGCCCAAACAAATCTCTTCTGCTTGTTGCCTCTCCTTAGCAGTGGTTTCCTAGCAGCTATTTGACCATGAAGGCCTGATTGGCGCAGTCTCCTCTTAACAGTTGTTCTAGAGATGGGTCTGCTGCCAGAACTCTGTGTGGCATTCATCTGGTCTCTGATCTGAGCTGCTGTTAACTTGCCATTTCTGAGGCTGGTGACTCGGATGAACTTATCCTCAGAAGCAGAGGTGACTCTTGGTCTTCCTTTCCTGGGTCGGTCCTCATGTGTGCCAGTTTCGTTGTAGCACTTGATGGTTTTTGCGACTCCACTTGGGGACACATTTAAAGTTTTTGCAATTTTCCGGACTGACTGACCTTCATTTCTTAAAGTAATGATGGCCACTCGTTTTTCTTTAGTTAGCTGATTGGTTCTTGCCATAATATGAATTTTAACAGTTGTCCAATAGGGCTGTCGGCTGTGTATTAACCTGACTTCTGCACAACACAACTGATGGTCCCAACCCCATTGATAAAGCAAGAAATTCCACTAATTAACCCTGATAAGGCACACCTGTGAAGTGGAAATCATTTCAGGTGACTACCTCTTGAAGCTCATGGAGAGAATGCCAAGAGTGTGCAAAGCAGTAATCAGAGCAAAGGGTGGCTATTTTGAAGAAACTAGAATATAAAACATGTTTTCAGTTATTTCACCTTTTTTTGTTAAGTACATAACTCCACATGTGTTCATTCATAGTTTTGATGCCTTCAGTGAGAATCTACAATGTAAATAGTCATGAAAATAAAGAAAACGCATTGAATGAGAAGGTGTGTCCAAACTTTTGGCCTGTACTGTATATGTCATTCCATACTGTTGTGGCTGATGACTGATGCTTTTTAAACGTGGCCCTTTTGAAAGTCCCACATTACGTGCTTTTTGTGTGTTTGTTTGTTTTTTTCTAATTATCTGTTAATTTTATTTTGTATTTACTCATTTATCAACAGCATTTTTTCCAAGCAAATTGTTAACCTTATCATTTTGACAATTTATCGATGAATTGTGAGTTTAATTTAATTGTTCAATGAACTTCTGCCCTCAGTTTTAGAGGGGGGGCTGTGAATGATATACGAACTTGAAGTATACATGGAATGAATTGTATGGAATTGGGGGTGCAGGGGTTTGGAGAGTATGTACATGTTTGTATTTAGTCACTTATTATTATTTCCGATATAATATTCTCTACCTTGTTGAGGGTTTGTGTATGAGTGTTTTTGGTTCTTCCTGTATTTGTGCTTTCTTTCTTCATTTTGCTTAGGGTGTTGTTAGTAATTTATCTCGGTTACATGTCACAATGGTATCTCACATTTTAAAAAATAAAGTTAAAAAACAAGAAGAGTGCAGAGGAGACATAAAGCAACCTATGACTCCATATGTGTGTGGGAGGAGATACACGTTTGTCTATACCATCCTCTGGCCATCAGAAGGATTTAGATCATGAGGAAGTGGACAATCAGTGGTGATGTCCCTTATGTTGGCAGAAATATGTATGGTCGTGAACAGTGAGAGACAAACAATTCTTTGATCCCAATTTAATCACGCCACGAAGTACACATTGACAAACATATTTTGATGTTTGTCATTTCAAGAGATGATTTAATAAGTCAAGACAGATGCAGTTTGTTGTAGGTCTGTCCGTTTGGTTTTGTGTGAACTGCTAACTGAACTACATCTCTCCTCTTGCACAATATTCATCACTGATATTATTATTGCCACTAGCTGGGCACGTTTCACTTTGTTCCTCCAGGACGAGGCAAAAAGTAATAAGTGAATTGAAATCACTACAAGGGAAGTGAAAGAACAAGCAAGACGAGGTGCTTGTGTGAGAACATCTATATGGAGTACACAGGCATCATAGCTTCAGCAAAAGAGAGCTCCATGACATCTAGAACGTGACTTTTAGGTGTGAAGTCTTTCTAATTATGTATTTTCACAGTTGTATACTTTAACAGTTTGACAGCAATCACTTACACAACTATATTTTAAATAGACAAATATCGTGTGTGTAATTCATGGAACAATTAAAACAGGATAAAATAATTATTTGTCTCTCGGGGTTCATACCACCCATAGTTTTTTCTGAAATAAGGTCCCATGGTTGTTCTGTTTCTGGGAGAAAAGTCTGAAAAACACAAGTTAAGTTGGACTCACATCAAATAAAAAGTTAAGTTAGAAGCGTTGATTGTGAAACAGCTGACAGTACATTTAAGTTCCAATCAGTGCCGCCATCGCGGTAGTTTAGCTTCACAGCCCTAATTTGCCTATAAAAACACAACGTTGTTGCTTGATACACATTATTCAGGCCTTTGATACACAATCAAGCAAATCAGACCACAGATTGCAGTTTAATTATCATTATTGTCTTGCTGTGTCATCACTAGTGCAGTATCTCTTCCAGTCAGCTGCTGGTGGTCTGTAATTAGCCTGTCTGTCCTGTAGCTTCCCCCCACACGGTCACAGCAGTAATACTTGATTGAGGTCCTGTGGCTGAAATAAGCTGATTTCTCCGATGCTGGTCCTGCATGTAAGCTGCATTTAGAATAATTAAAGGATGCTAAGCTTTGCAATACCTCATTGCTATGGGGTCAGAGGTCAATACGGAAACTAAAGCCAATGCATTCTGCATAGTAAAATGTAAATGCAAATCACTGACGTTATATTCCATGTTGTTTTTACTGGTTTTGCTCTTATATGCTGCTCTTTGTTTGAAAGTTTGCCCTGTTTTAAACCATGCCAAATCTAAACTCAATATTAGATTTCAAACTAAGGATTCAGTGTAACTCTATTTGTTTTGTTCTCACTGTTGGTTCAGGAAAGCGAGCTGAGCAAGAAGAGAAAAGAATGTGAAAACCTTGAGCATGAAGTAAAGAAGCGGCAGAAGAGATGTCTGGATTTGGTAAGCAGTATTTCCTTCTCCTCTCATGCTCTCTGGCGGAGTTCCAGTCTGGTTTTAGCATTACCGTAGGATGACTTGGACGGCATGGACTTCCTCAGCTTTATCTGAACTTTGTCGTGTGGTTTGGTGACAGGAGAGCCAGCTTGAGGATGAGCGAGGCAAAAATGAGCAACTAAAGGAGGAGGCAGATCTCCTCAGGAGGAAGGCACAGCTGCTCGACCAGGTCAGTTTCAACATGAACGTGTTAAGCTTTTTTGTGTCTCAATAAAAATGGCTCTAGATTTCATAGTTGTGGCATTCAGAGCTGTCAGTTGGGGTAGTTTACTCACCAACTCAAAGGATAACTTCAGCATTTTTCAACCTGGACCCAATTTTTCCATGTTTTTGTGTCAGACTGACTAATGGGAACAACAAAATTTTGGTGCAGTACTGAGCGAGAGGAAACAGGCTGCAATGTAACACACCTTTACTGAGCTTCCACTAAAAGTGCTTGTTTTTGCCACTGACAGGGGACTTTTTATTCGTATTTCCACATTTATTAATTTCAGGAAGCTTTTTATGTCCATCTGCTACATTCATGTTAATGAGGTGTGGTTATCACACAGATTCAAACCAAAGCAACAATGAATCACAATCAAACTGAAAGTCATTTATGTATTTATTGCACCATTTATTTATTTTCATAGTCATATTCATCTCGTCATTGATTTAACCTGGACCCAATTTTTCCATGTTTTTGTATCAGACTGACTAAGTGCTTGTTTTTGCCACTGACAGGCTCAGATTATTATTCTAAGTGTCTGAAAAAATTATGGAAAGGATCCCGACAGAGATAGACGTTTTTGTGAAAGAGTAAGATCCTTTTTTTTAAAACCAGAAACAGCCCAGTAATCGCGATGACCAAATCCACCAGACTCCATTTAAATAAACAGTAATTTTACCAACGTAAAACACACTTTATTTAGAGTCGACAGAAACAAAATAAAACTCACAAAAACAACAACTCACTCAACACTGGATCAGTTTCGAAACTTAGTCAGTTAGACACAAAAACATAGGGAAACAGGGTCCAGGGTTGAAAAATACTGACGTTACCCTTTAATGCTGAAACCTGGGGATGCAGTGACATCTCTACTCCAAGAGAAATGATGATCAAAACTATAAAAATGTCTGCAATAAAATTAAATCTCCGTCCTCCTGCTGTTGTTTCTCAGACTCGGGCTGAGAATGAGGAGCTGAGGGAAGATCTCTCTGAAGTGACCGCTCAACACAATTCAGTTCTCGAGGAGAACCAGAGACTCCGTGCCAAACTGGAGAACCTAGAGCAGGTCCTAAAGGTACGGCTGAGCTCAGATACTGTGAGGTATTATTTTCGCCTTCACTCCTTACCATGCTACTTTACAAAATAGCTTTCTGATGTGCTTTTCTTTTTGAACAGCATATGCGAGAGGTCGCCGAGCGAAGGCAGCAGCTGGAATTGGAACATGAGCAGGCACTGGCTATCCTTAAGTTCAAACAGGATGAAATCAAACGGTTACAGCGGGTGAGGAGCACAGTCTCTTGTACATTTTTCATATTTGACCAGTGTTTTTCTTGCTGAAATGAAACCCTCAGGTCCCCCAGGCTATTTAAACCTCACGCCCAGCAGGAGGCAACCTTTGGGCACCAATAAAGTATTGTGTGTTTTCACACGCAGCTTACTGTGATGTGAATTTTAAGAGCAAACAACCAATGTAACACTGACTTTAATATTGTTTTTTTTTTTTCTTTTTTTAATCAGGCTCAGTTATACGCCAAGAGGGAGCATGAAGGAGTGGTTCAGATGCTGGAGGTGAGTTTGTGTTACACCAGCAAAAACATAACATCTATACCATGTAGTGCTTTTATTACACTCAAGAACTTAGAATGACTTACCTAAACAAAAATCAAGTGTGCCCATGTTTATTATGTCACACAAGGGAGTGATTAACTCAGCCCCAACAAAAGAGGGGAGGAGTGTTTTATGCACTAGCTGTCTGATGAGATCAACTCTAATTCATTATTAAAGGTGTTTCTTTCCTCCATGAAACCAAGCAAAAAGAGTATAAATATTTGTATTACCCTCCTGCTCTTAGTAGACAGAAGCAGCACAATGAGCTCTTCGTTCTTATCTAAACACCTGGCAGAGAAGCTGTTGCAGAAGAGTCATATTTTTGTAGCACTCATGGGTCTGGAAAACCGTTTGAACAGATGGCTTCGCCGCTGCAGTGTGACATTTATATTCACTCTCAGTGTGAGTGTAAAGCACTTTGAATTCAAAATGAATCCAGACAGTCGATGACAGTTGAAGCCCCCATCTGTCTGACTGGCTGCTGATGTTAAACGATGCAAAAAAAAAAAAAAAGTCCCCCACAGTTGATGGCTGTATGTCTGTATTTCTCACATTGTGCATTTTGCTAAATGAAGTGTGTATTTTATTTTAGGAGTTGACTCAGCTTGTGTTGCGGAGGGAGCTGGTAGAGTATAGTTGCTCCTGTTTTTTTTTTTTTTTTTTTAACAAAAAATGCTTGTTTCCTTCCTCCTGCTTTGTTTCTCTCACTTTCTGTCTCTATTTAAACTCAAAGCATCACAGGAGAAAGTCTCTTCCCCTCTCAGGAACCTGAGCTTTGTTCCCAAGTTGACGCACTGCCTTTTGTAATCTGCTAAAAACACATTTTATAAGATCAAGCAGAATGAATTTCTTCATTTAAAAGGCAGTTGTTGGCTGCCGAGGGTAGAGACACATTCTAGTGATACGGGATTTTCAGACTGCTGTGTTTCTTTTTTATTAATATGTTTTCTCTTTCCCAGTTTCACTGTTTCACAAGCATGTGTTTACCTTTGTATATCTTTTTTTGTTCTTTGTGTTATCTCTTTGCTAACCAGAGTACACTGGACTGCATGCAGGTACTGTTAACCAATTTACCTTAGTGCCATAAAACCTCCCCTACCTTCTGCAGGTAGAACCACCAAACCCCTGTTACTTTTAGCTAAAGTGGAAACAGACGACTTTTCCTCCCCCGTGTTGTATCATACATGTTCCCCCATCGAATAGTGTGTCCATCTTGGTGGTTAGGGTTAGGGCGGATTGTTTTGGTCAGGTTTAGATGGAGGGGAAACATTCATCGACAAGGGGACAGTCCTTGACACAACACCGGTGTTTCTAAATGGTAATATTATTGACGCCGCTGTCGCAAAGACAACCGGATTGCTTTCTGTTTTCCTCAGAGCCTCCTTCATCATAATAGAATAAGCTAAAGCCAGGCTAGCATTACAGAACTTTTTGGCCGACTTATCCCTAGCCCTTTTTAAATAGGAATTGTTCAAATTTGCAGGAAAGCCCAATCAGTCTTCTTTCAGCATTGGCAGTATAAAAGCAAAATCGGGGAGTGCAGCAAAATGGCGTCTACCTACTTTTATTTATACAGAATGCGGCTTTTTCGGGGCAATGGGGGGCGTGAGCAAGTAACAAAATGTGTAGCTCAGCGTGTGACATAAACAGTGACGTAAACCAAAAAGGTTCCGCCAATATGACGACCCTACGAGGCGGAAAATTGGGCTCCTCGGATCAACTTGCCAATCCGGCTCTGTGTGTCTAAACGCTCGCAGCTTGCTGGCAAAACGGCCCAACATTAGCTGAAAATCAAGCAGTGTAAAAGGGTCTCCTGATTTACCTCCTGACAAACAGAGAAATCTGGTCTGGGACCTTGGTTGGTACCAAATTTCAGCACAGAGTATCTTGTATTGTGAGAGGTGTGCAGATCCAGTGTGAAACCTCTCAAACTGTTTACAGGCTCATCGGGGCCGCTCTGATGATTTGATGCTAACGTTAGCTAGCATACTTTTGACTGAAATTAAAACTGACATAAAATCTCACCTCCAGTTCTCACTGAAGTATAGACAACCCAAGCTGACCATTTTCTCATCGAGACCCCTTTAGCCGTCTGCTTTTGTTTTTCTCACTGCAAAGTGTTATTAACATTAACGTTTGAGATTAGAGACAAGAACATCTATGAAGATGCTCCTGATGTGTCTGATGCAACCTGATTTCAGTATCACTTAAGAATTTAAAACTCTTTTAATCAGAGCCTGGCTTACAATTAACCACAGCTAATTTTAGGAAAGCCACCGCAAGAAAACACACTCCTTGTTTAGAATATCAAACGGACAATAGATCATGGAGGTTTGTTTCTGGTTGCTAGCATTAGCAACATGGCTAACTCTAGCAGCCAGAAACATAGATATTTGTTTATTTTCTTCTGGCTTGTCTTGGCTTCTTGATAGCTCCTGTTCAAAGCAAGAAACAACTGTAACAAACCCTGATCTCAGTGCTATGATACTAGCACAGTAAAACACTTGGTAGTATTAATAAGTAGGCATCTTAAAGCAAAAGACTTGTTTATATCCACTTTAGGTTCACAGTGTTATATGTATACTGCAGCTGCCAGCAGGAGTGTCAGCCCTGCAGTAATTAGTCTTCCATAAATGCTTCATGTGGCCACAGAGGCCCATTTGATGCAGATGCAGTTTTTCAGGTTACCGAAGTGTGTGTAAAATCAGGTCATTCACATGAGACCAGAAAACAGTGTATGTGGCACAGTTAATGCTCCCAGCTGCACCGAGCACACTTACCATGCTCATTTGATCTGATGATACCGAGGTAAACTCTCCCTACGTATATACCCAACATGTCACTGATTGCTGATTGCTGTAATTGAGCATTCATTTGAGGTTTCCAAGTGATTTCTCTCAGCGTTTTAGCGCCTCAGCTCAGTGTAGCCAGATAACGACTCGCTTTGCGTAGGTGAGAGCTAACAGGAAATGTTGTTGAGACAGTTTTGTGCAGAAGCCTCCGTCAGATCTGCCTGCCAGGAAACTCCCACCGCAACCTGAAGTGAAATCAGCCACATATAGAAACTCAGAGGAGCTGAGACAAACCTCTGTAGTGTTCTGGCAAATAAGCCTGCAGTCTAGTGGCTTTGTTGAAGTGAATGAAGTGTAAAACAGAAGCACGTAATTTAACTTCTCATCATAACATATGCTGCCCCTCCAACTCTGGGTTTTACTCTTGTTTCCCATCTTGCCAGAAAGCGACCTGCCTTTATTCCTTTCCCTTTTTCTTTACGCTGAGCTTGTGATTCTCTGTCTTTTGTGTTTGATGACAAATGTTTAACAGATGTCGTCTGTCTTGCAGAAACCTAACCTCACATTGCAGTATTTCATTTTAAAATGTCTGTACAGGCAAAAAGGTTTCTGCATGACTCTGATAATTTAAGTTGCTTTTACATACAGGGCCCTGTTTTAATCGTGCAAGCATAACGACAATCGCAAGGTAGTGTGTGTGTGTGTGTGTGTGTGTGTGTGTGTGTGTGTGTGTGTGTGTGTGTGTGTATGTGTGTGTATGTGTGTGTGTCCTGCTGCCTTCAGATGGCTGCACAGATTTAATGAACTAAAGGAGAAGCTTTTTATGAAGCAGCTGTGGATAACAGATACTGTCAGAATCACTCGATAAATGCAGATGTTCCTGCTTTATCCACATCAAATGTTCTTTTTTGATGCTGATTTAAATGCATCTACTAGTCAGAGAGTGTTTTATAAGTTTGCTGTTGTTGGTTCAAGCACTAAAGTGGCACCTGAGTGACGCCAGAAGCAGAAATCTAAATATCTATTCTCAAAATCTTAGATACATTTTTTCGATGAAATACCAACAACTGGCTTTGCGGTGACTCATTTGAAGGACCCTCCCACCTGTTTGCACCTCTCCTCTTACAGTACCTGTGCATCATGCACTCTGCACTGGCCACTAAAATAACACACAGACGGACAAAGTGAATTTCAAGGTCAGAAAAAATAGCAAACTGTCGGAGCACTGCTTGCGCTTGTCGTCGTGCTGTAAAGAAAATAGGCCCACAGGGTCAGATCAATCCACATGACTGAGGTGTTACAATACAAAACTCAAGATCCACCTCAAAGGGGACCTGTTATGCTTTTCCAGATTTTTTGTGATAATGTTACAGTGTTGGATGTTCATATTAAACATAGCCAAAGTTTCATATAACAAGGTAAATGTCTGTAAAAGTAATCTGTGTGAGCAAAAGCATCAGGTGTCAGATCGGTCAGATTACTCTGTTTCCAACAAGACAACATGACGTCAGCTTGGGACAGATTTCTTTATATCGTCATCTGCTCCACGCACGCTACTGCATGTGTTTACTTTACATACGCTACTACATGAGGCTACATGCTAACGACAGGCAAACACGTCTTTGTTGCTGATTTTGGATCGTAGTCCTGCTGGAACAGTTGTGTTAAGAAGCTTTTATTGGTGATTATTCATGGTAGAAAGTGCCACTATTCATTTCCTGGCTGCAATGATGCTGCAGAGACACTGAGATACAGAGGACTTGTGAGGTTTTAAAGAGACGGGCGCTAAAAATACAGGTGTTCCAGCACAAAGAGTGTGAGGAAAGTAAAGTGTTTTTTGAACATTAAAGCATGTAAATGTGTTCTAGTATAAACCCCCAAAAATAGCATGAACCTGAAAACAAGCGCAATAGGTCCCCTTTGAAACACACACCTCTACATGTATGTTTAAACAATACCAACCTGTTCAGTAAAGCTTAGCTCACTTGCTTGCATATCTAGTCAGTTGGTTTAAAACTGCTTTTTTACTGTATGGCTGTCTTTCCTGTCTGTGACGCTGTATGTGTAGTCAAAAGTACGAGAGCTGGAGGACAAATGTCGCAGCCAGAGCGAACAGTTTGGCCTGCTGTCCCAGGAGTTGGAGAAGTTTCGATTGCAGGCCTCGAAGGTGGACGTGGCTGGCTCTAGCCTCCTCACCAACCCCGGCCTCTCAGTTCTGACCAATGGGGTGGGCCTGACTACAGAGCGAGGTGAGCCATGCTGCCATGACATGTACCCACACCCAACAGTACAACCTGTACAGAGAGAGAATCATAGTTGTTACTCAGGATAGATGCCTTACTGCAATTATCTGTACTTTTCCTTTTGATGTTTAGTGTAAACTGGCAAATACACAGTGGTGTCAACAGCCTTGTTTCCACAAGAGATAATGTCAGGTGATCTGCCTTAATCCGTCTTGTTTTAGGATATTCTAATAGTTGCATCATTGTCAAATTCAACTGTCACAGTGTGTATCCTTAGTTAGTTTTCAGTTGCAAAGGAAATCTTATCACCAAATAGCCACTGAACCCAGGCACAAAGCATTGCCTCAGTCCTTTTATGTACAAAATGCTTTCAAGAACATCCACGTTTTTTAACTGTCCCATCAGGGGTGCATCCTTTCAGCTGCTCATTATTGGCTTTTTAGTTTCCTTTTAAACAGTAAGGGCACATGAAATGATGCCTAAAATGTCAGTGCATCATTGTTGTTTATCAGTAATTACAAAGTGAGCAGTGTCAGTTTAGCTTGTTTTACTCGGATTGTGAAGTAGCGGCACATGTTTTTAGAATATTTATTATAATGTAAACCCAGCCACAACTGCCCTTAAGGGTATTTTTGAACCTGGACTCTATTTTACCATGTTTTTGTGTCTAAGTGACGAATGGGAACAACAGTTGTTGAAATTGGTCCAGGCTGCAATGTAACCACTTGGGGTATGTTTGTACGGTCATTGTATGTCCACTAAAAGTGCTTGTTCTGACAGGCTCAGATTGTTATTGAGTGTGTGACAACATAATGCACAGGATCCCCACAGAGATAGAGATTTATGTTAATGAGTAAGATCATTTTTGTTTAATTAGAAACAGCCTCGAAATCCGTATCGCCGAATTTACCAAATTCCATTTAAAGAAACAGTAATTTTATTGTGGTTAAACATACTTCATTCAGAGTCGACAGAAACAAAATAAAACTCACAAAAACCATCTTGGTTTGTCTTTCCACTGTTCCAACAACCACCAGCTCTGGTTTGGTTGAAATAAACCCTTAATTCAACCAGTTAGATGTGAAAACAAGTTGACTCTATACATGCTTAAATTACTGTTTATTCAAATGGACTCTGGTGGGTTTGGTGATAACGATTTCTGGGATTTCTCTGGTTAAATAAAAAGGATCTACCTTTCTATAATGTTGTCAGGTACTTGTTAAAAATCTGAGCCTGTCAGTAGCAAAAACAAACAATTTTTTTGTGGATGTAAATTAACAGTGTGAACATGCCCAGAGTGCAGCTTGCTTGGCCATGTCTGTCTACAGCCATCTCACTTAATACTGGACCAAATTCAAAAAATGTTCCCATCAGTCACGTGGACCCCAAAACATGGGAAAATAGGTTGAAAATTCTGGTTACCCTTTAAATATAACAACAGTGCAAATCTAGTCCAAATCTTTCCTCCTGTATTTGTCCAACCTTTTTCTTCTACACTGTTCATGTGTTTTTAGACTGCACTGGTGGCTCATGGGATATGGTGTCCCTGGGTGAAATAGCCTTCTGGAGTCTCGAGGGAGGTGACACTCTCTCCTGCCCTGAGGGTAATGATCCGCTCGGTACTCTGTCCGTCACTGTTACTCATTATATGTGTTGGGACTGTCACAAGAAGCACGGCATGTTCTAACCCGTCATCTCACCCTCACCATTACAGTCCAGCACTGCAGCGGAGCTTGTCTGTAGTCCTCACCCCCACATGAGGGTCAGTGCTCATGGGCTGAGGTGAGAAATGAACCAGTTAAGCCCCTTAACAGTGCTGGTGTGACACAAGGTAGTGCAACCTCTGACCTCAGACAGATGGACACAGGATTTTTTTTTCCTCCACTGTTTAATCAGCCGGGTTCAACCTTGAGTGTCCTGCATGTCAACCAGTGACCTCACCCACCTTGCTGCTCGTGGATTCAGCCAGTTAAACCAGTGAGAGGGCCGGGGGGGGGTGTCATCTATTAAAGTCATGGATTATGTATTATCTTCTTCCCCTCTCTTTCCTGCTAGATGTGGCTGCTGCACTGCGGCTCGGGGCCACCCCCCACGCTGCAGGGCTGTCCAGGGTGGAGCGCTCGCCCGTCACCAAGCATCGAGAGCTGCCCACCATCAGTGTCAGCAAGTCAGGCTCTTCCTCCAGCAAGTCAGAGACCACACACCTCACCCCCAAGTCTGACACCCACCTCAGTCCACACAAGTCAAGTCCAACACACGAGGTACCAGCTCTGAGAATCAAAGAATCATCGTACGTTACTCATTTCAGAATAAACACTTGTGTACTGATTATTTCTCAGGAGCAGTTTCAGTCACCTTCACACATACTGTGACTAAATACGTGTTTCAACATCCTTTTTTTGCCATGACTAAGACAAGGTGATGATGGTTTTTGCTTGACTACATATACGAGAATATTGTCCAATGACTAAAAAAGACTAAATATCAACAGACTGACTAAAACTCAGATAGTTCAGGTTATCTTTCACTAAGATATGACTAACATGCCCAGACTTTGAGTCAACTAAAATTTGACCAAAAATGAAAACAGGATGAGGTTGCCTGAATATGATAAAAACTAACAAGGGCATTTAAGCCCATTATAGTCCAATAAAAGGAAAAACACCCCCCAAAAAACCATTCAAATCTTTCAAACACCGTGGAGTCTTCGCTTCAGTTGGAGTACACAGAGTTGGAGCAAGAGGCACCTCCAAGAACCAAACAATGTCTGACAATAAAATGAAGGTTGTGAAAAATATTTGAGTTGTTCGAAAGAGACATGCAACATCAACCTGGGGGCCAGGGTCGATGTAGAAACATCAGACGCTGTCTCCAGACATATGAGAGCCACCTAGACTGAGCCACCTAGTTGATCTAGGGGAAACACTGAACTGTCGCCGTGATATACACTTTGCATGTATGGCAAAGAATGGTTTTCTTTTGACCTGCTATAAATAAGTCAGGTTTAGTGTTAATTTTAATCCTTGGTTGGAAGTTTGGTGTCTTAATGTTCACCTAGGTCACATCGATATGCAGGACTCCTGCCTGCAGCTCTTCCGCTTTCTTTGTTTCTACATGCTCAGGCAGATTGCTCATCAAGATTACCAAGACAGCCATGCACGATCACATTGATTGTGGGGACTTAATGGATTAAAAAGCCCTCCTTAACCTCCCTGTCATCTCACGCGAGGACAGAGACTGTAGCTGAATATGCCACAGCTCCCTCTGCTCATTCACGAGAGGAGTCATTTGGTGTTTTTGTTGTGCCATGTGTCCACAGAGTCAGTGTCAGGTCTTGTACGGTAGACAGGTCGGTGGTCTTTTCATCTCGTCAGCACACATTTCAATAAAGCTCATATTTAGTGAGATAATCCATTCGCCACTGTGGATTATGAAGGTTATACAGTAGTAGTTGTAAGTGATTATCCTTAAAAAGGTTTTCCCAGGGAGCTATAAATATACACACCCTCTTATTGTGCCGTGTGTGACAGCTATGAATGGAAGTCACAATCAGGTATCCAAGTGATTCTCTACTAACAGTGACTCACTGATATTAACTCACCTTATAACAAGAATATCGTACTCAGTATCGTCACATGAGATAGATGTCTTTTTAATTAGTTTTTGCGCGGCAATGCAAGCAGTTTTAGTATTACCTAAACAATCCAAACCATTTATCTTTTGTTCATGGTGTTCTCAGGTGGACACTGCCAGTGAAGTGGAGGAGCTGGATATTGATGTAGCCCCAGCTCCTTACACAGCCAGCAGAGGAGCAGCAAAGCTTCAGGTTTTCATTGCCAGATACAGGTAAGTATCAAACTTAAGCAAGGTTTAGCAAAGAATAACTTCAGTGTTTGTTCAACCTGGACCCAATTTTACCTTGTTTTTTTGTCTAAGTGAAATATAAAGACAATCATTTTGAAATTGGTCCAGTATTTAGAGACAACGATACGGCCACAGTGTCACTGTACATCTGCTAAAAGTGTTTCTTTTTGCCACTGACAGGCTCAGATTGTTATTCTAAATGTCTGACAACATTATTGAAACAATCTCTGCAGAGCTAGACCTTTTTGTCAAAGAGAAAGATCCTTTTTTTTAACCAGAAACAGCTACAAAAATCACCATCGCAAAACCCACCAGATTCCATTTAAATACACAGTAATTTTATCATCATAAAACACACGTATTTCAAAGTGGACAGACACAAAATTAAACTCAGAAAAATCGTCTTGGTTCATTTTTCCACTGTTCCAACAACGACCAACTCTGGTTTGATTAAAATTAACTCTTAAATTTCTGAGTTAGATGTGAAAATATGCTGGCTTTATGCATGCTAAAATTACTCTTTATTTAAATGGGGTTTGGTAGGTTTGGCAGTGGCTATTTTGTGGCTGTTTCTGGTTAAACAAAAAGTATATTACTTTTTAACAAAAAGATCTGTCTCTGTGAGGATCCTTTCCATAATGTTATCAGACATTTACAATAACTATTTGAGCCCGTCAGTGGCAAAAGCAAACACGTTTAATGGACATACATCAACCGTACCAACATGCCCCAAGTGGTTACTTGCAACCTTTTTCAACTAACTAAATTCTGGATGAATTTAAAAAATTGTTGTTCCCGTTAGTCCCTTAGACACAAAACCATGGGAAAATAGTGTCCAGGTTGAAAAATATGGGACTTACCCTTTAATATGTGTTTTAAAAATGACTTCATGGTAAATTAATTTTCTCCAGCTATAATCCGTATGATGGCCCCAATGACAACCCTGAAGTGGAGCTTCCACTCACTGCTGGAGAATACATCTACGTGTATGGAGACATGGATGATGATGGCTTCTATGAAGGTAAATCTTGAGTATTAATTGTTGCATCTACAGTTTCATATTTCTGTCTTGGCATGGTACTCAGTGTTTATTGTGACTCCTCCCAGGTGAGCTGATGGATGGACGGAGAGGGCTGGTCCCCTCTAACTTTGTGGAACGTGTATCGGATGACGATGTCATGAGCACACACCATCCAGAGACGGGGGACATGTCCCATAACTCCTTGCTAGACAGCAGCCTGCACAGTGCCAGCCACCAGCATCACCTCCACGTGGGCGTCAGCGCCTCGGAAAGGACCGAGGTGTCTGCCGCCTTCGGCCCTGCCTCAGCCCCCTCAGATTCAGCATCGGCCTTGGCTGTCCCAGCCCCCCTCACCAACGGCCTGGACTTGGATTTGGAGGAGGTGGGAGTGGACATTGTGCCTTACCCACGTAAGCTCACCCTCATCAAGCAGCTTGCCAAGAGCATCATCATCGGCTGGGACCCTCCGTTGGTGCCGGCTGGGTGGGGCAATGTGTGGAGTTATAATGTGTATGTGGACCAGGAGCTGCGGCTCAATGTGCCCTTCGGTGCCCAAACCAAAGCGGTGCTGGAGCGGCTGGACATAAACCTCAAGGCCTACCGTGTGTCAGTGCAAAGCCTGACAGAAAAGGGCCCCTCAGACCAGCTGCGTTGCAGCATGCTGGTCGGTCGGGACGTTTGTGTGGCGCCCACGCAACTGCGTGTGGAGAGGATCACCGCCACCTCTGCCAACCTGACCTGGCTGCCCAGCAACAGTAACTATGTGCACATTGTGTCCTTGAATGAGGAGGAGTGTGAGCTGGTGAAGGCTGGCTGCTGCTCGCTGTGCCTCAATAACCTCCTGCCCAGCCTGCAGTACACGGTCAAAGTGGAGGCACGGCCACACCGCACGCCATGGGAGTTACCTGTGGAGCGGCGTGAACACAGAAGCGCTACCATCACCTTCACTACACTGATGGCAGGTCAGGATTTAGTGTTTTATGTAATATCAGATGTTCTTTATCTACACTTACACATCTGTGTTCTATGGGTCATGAATCAATAAGACTAATTTTCTGCATTTAAAATCTAATATATTTATGTTGGACAAGAGAAGGTACAGAGCATGTAAGGACGAGTGGAGCTCAAATGTTGGATCCAGAAGGTTTAATTTGGACAACTTTTTGAGAATCTTTAACTAACTAAACTGTTGGGCAGCGATTCTTAAATTAGGACAACACAGTTAGCAGAGCGTCATGTGAGCTCAGTGTGTTGTATCCTGCAGTCCAAATTAAAACCTTATATTCAGCAGTGGTGATTCTGAACCCCTCATACAAGAACATTAGTTTATTCATGAGAGCTGCTCTGACTCACCTTTTCTTTAAGTGTATTGCTTCAAAGGAAAGGGAAATAGGTGACTTGGTTGGTCATTATAAAAGGGAAAAATAGACACAGCATATTGTTGCAATATTTGATGTGGCAATATTGTCTTGATACACAGACACCAAGTAGTGATTTTTAATGATATAAATCATAAATGTTACTTCCTCAGTCCACTAGATATATTTTGCTGCAATAAAAATGATTGCAGTGAGACGAAGAGACTGAAAGCCCCATCTTACGACATGAAAACAGATGCTGACAAAAACACTTTTTTAACTTGCAATATTTTGCAGTATATGTCATAAAAATACTTAGCAATTTGTAGTATGCAATAATATTGTGCCATGACTCATACTTAGACTCACACTCACTCCCAATATCCTACACAAATCAGCTTCATACATATTTCTGAGTAGCTGCAGTGGAAATTTTAAACTAAGCTAATTGTTAAGAGGGAATTATTTTACGAGGACATTATGACCAGAGGGATTGAAATATGTCAGATTGCAACAGAAACAGTAAAAAAAGACGCAATTACCGAAATGCCCTTTCCTCTTTTGATGGATATTTTCCTGCCCTGCCCCCAAAGCATTGCTACAAGTCAAAAATAATCTCAAATAATTGGGATTCCATGTAAACAGGGAAGCGAAATGTGAGGTCTTTTAATATTTTGGTGAGAATTGAGTCACTGATGTTGAGTTTTTTTAATCCCAATCATCAATTAATGTCAGTTTGTGGCGGCAGTATATATCACCACTCTACTCCCAGTCAACAATATTTCATTTTTCATGAATAAATCTTAAACTTAAGATGCTTATGTGTGATTAGTGTCAGTAGCTTTGAGTTGTTTTTCTCTAAATGATCCTTCAAATTTGCTTAAGTTTCATGCCCACAGTCTGGGAACTCAGGTATATGGTTTCTACATTTCTTAATGTCCCCTTAGAGTTTTAGATGGCTTCTTTTTCTCTCCATAGAATCATGTCCCCTTTGTGATAAGAATCTCTTATCCCATGCACTGTAATTTCAGTATGAGTGAATATGAATATAAAAACTTTTTTTTTTTATTTTTTGCTTGCCGCTGGCTGTGGTATGATGTTTTCCATCCCTGCAGGTCCCCCTGATGCTCCTCTGGATGTCCAGCTGGAGCATGGCCCCTCCCCGGGCATTGCCCTCATCAGCTGGCTGCCAGTCACTATAGATGCTGCCGGGACCTCCAATGGAGTCCGTGTCACTGGATACACTATTTATGCTGACAAGAAAAAGGCAAGAACTTGGAGTGTTTGTTGGACTAAGCAGTGCGTTTTGGTTTAATCGTAGTATTTATGGAGTTGAATGAAGAATCCAAAAACGGAGAAATTTCCTGATGTATTCAACTCATAGGGGTCCACATTTATCAACAGCAAAACTATATCAAAACATCCATTTACAAACTCTCACACAACTCGTGCAGTATAATCCAAGTCTGATTTATCCTGTCATATGTATTTTTAAGCTTTTTTTTTCTTAGCGCCAGTGTCATCTTTCAGTTGTTCTTAATGAGTAGCGAGTGGAGGAAAACCGCTGCACCCAGCGTCTTTTTTCAGAGCACCCCGCCTTTTTTGTGCAGCCACTCTGAGTGCTTGAAGTTGAAAATCTTTGAACGTTTCAGAAGGGTGCCACTTCTTTAGCTAGGCTACTGTCTACTGTCACAACAAAGTCAAAAAAGCTTATTTCTTGGGAGCAGATCGGCTGGCGTACATTGGGTGTCGCTGGCGAGTGTTTTTATCGCCATTCGCTGTGTAAGCTTAAAGTCGACTGTGTAGTCAACCCTGTGGCAATGTGGCGTTAAGTTAGCTACCTGGCTAATGTCGGTGTCAAGATATTGTTGTCATAGAAACAAAACCCATTATATGTCATTAAAAAAAGCACTGCCAACGCTTTTCTGGACACAAGCCCTAAGAATGTTCTCCTGTTTTGGATTCTTCGTTCACCTATGAGGCATGGGAGAACAACAAAATTGTCTTCATGTATTCAGTGTAGCATGGGGTAAGTAATTGACACAAATGGTCATTTGGGGGTATTCCTTGAAAATGTACCTGTTGCTCTCCTATCCTAGGTGCTGGAGGTGTCTTCCCCAACAGCCGGCAGTGCCCTGCTGGGCCCCTCTCAGATGCAGTCCTTGCTGGCAGCTCAGGAGCTCACTGTCCGCACCATGTCCGCCCATGGGGAGTCCTGTGATTCTTTACCAGTCAATGTGCCCTCCAAGCTGGCTGCCATCATGGCAGGTCCAGCTGTCGCCGCCCCAGTTGTGCCACCCCTACCCTGCAACCCTACGGGTTCCAGTAACCTGCCCTCTCCCCAGTCCTACGGGAACTCTGCTGCCAAAGTCTCCATGCTGCCCAGCCCTTTGCCACCAGACACAAACATCACTGGCCTCACAGTGGAGGCTGCTGCCAACTCCCCTCACGCTCTCCACCCAGAAGGTCTTCTCTTAACTACTTCATATGTGAACGCTTGGGCCAACCCCTGTTCTGCTGCTGCCTTGGCTGTATGTGAGGCCACATTACCAGTTGCCTCCACCATTACTCCAGTGGTAATACTTACTCTTCCATCCTCATATATATATATATATACAGTACAGGCCAAAAGTTTGGACACACCTTCTCATTCAATGCGTTTTCTTTATTTTCATGACTATTTACATTGTAGATTCTCACTGAAGGCATCAAAACTATGAATGAACACATGTGGAGTTATGTACTTAACAAAAAAAGGTGAAATAACTGAAAACATGTTTTATATTCTAGTTTCTTCAAAATAGCCACCCTTTGCTCTGATTACTGCTTTGCACACTCTTGGCATTCTCTCCATGAGCTTCAAGAGGTAGTCACCTGAAATGGTTT